GCCAGAGAGGGTGGTACTGGGTAGTGCCCAGTCATTTTTCTAAGGCAGTTAATTTCTTCACAAGTCAGGCTCCAAATACATGTGAAAAATCTACGGTTTAATTTAATTTTTTTGTCATTTTCTTTCTTTCTTTCTTTCTTTCTTTTTTTTTTTTTTTTTGAAGAGGGGTTTGCTATAGGGTGTATGCACATGCCAGAAAGAGAGAGACAGAGAGATAGAAAGTGAGAAATCACCCCCCAGAGGGGATGGCCACGCTGCAATCCCTTCTCCATTCTCCTCTTGGGATCTTGGACACGCACACACACATGCCCAGCGTGAGTTTAAGCCACCGGGGCCAGGACTTGAACTACGCTCGACGACATGGGAGGGAGTCCAGCAACATAGCCATTACGCCAACTGCTGATCCCAATTTTTTGTCATTTTTCAGGCCAAGTTCATTGCTTCACAGGTCCAAATACATGTGAAAATCTTGGTTTAATTTAATTTTGTTTTGTCTGTTGTATATGCCCCTAAATGTTTTAAATAAACACTAAATTGCCCTGACAAAAGCAGAGATCCTTTACTTAGCAAGCTTCATCATTTTCACCCTCTGTTGAAGCCAGTATAAAAGTAGTTGGATACATTTTAGTATCAAGTTTGGTCATATCATATTAAGTTTTTGGAAGGGATTTTCCAGTTTACCTCCTCTGTGGTGCATTTTCATGATCTGCACCTTACATACCACCTATGTTACCGTGACCATACTTGCAGGAACGGGAGAAGTAGCGTGTAGGTAAAGCCCAGGTCAGTGAGCGAGGTGCTCCTGCTGGCCTAGCCCTCGCTCTCTTAGGAGTTAACCACTTAATACAGTTTTTCTGTTGTTCACATTAGAAAAGGTGCACGCTGTCAGTATTGGATCTCAGATTCTTTTTCTCCAATTTGTAATTTCTTTTCTTTCTTTTTTTTTTTTTTTTAAGAATTATTTTATTTACGGGAACTAGCAGTTAGCGTAATGGCTATGTCGCTGGACTCCCACGTAGTCGACTGCGGTTCACGTCCCAGACCGGGTGGCTTAAAACTCACGCCGGACGTGTGTGCGTGAGTGCCCAAGATCCCAAGAGGAGAATGGAGGAGAAGGGATTGCGGCGTGACCATCACCCCTGGGGGGTGATTTCTCGCTTTCTGTCTCTATGTCTCTGTGTCTGTCTGGCGAGCGCATGCACCCTATAGTGAAAAACCTCTCAAAAAAAAAAAAAAGAATTATTTTATTTAGGGACCAGCAGTTGGCATAATGGCTATGTCGCTGGACTCCCATGTAGTTGACCGTGGTTCAAGTCCTGGACCTGGTGATTTAAACTCACGCCGGGCACATGTGTGTGTGTGCCCAAGATCCCGAGAGGAGAATGGAGGAGAAGGGATTGCAGTGTGGACACCGTCCCTGAGAGGGTGATGGGGATGGATTTCTTGCTTTCTGTCTCTCTCTGTCTTTCAGGCAAGCACATGTGCCTTATAGCAAAAACCTCTCCCAAAAAAATAAAGAATTTTTTTTTAACTTTTTATTTATTTTAATTTGATCAGAGAGGGATAGAGTGAGAGAGAGAGAGAGAGAGCAAGCAAGCCACCAGGTTCAGGATTTGAACTGCAGTTGGTCATGTGGGAGTCCAGTGCCCTTACCAACACACCACCTACCCCCCCATTTATAATTTCTTTCATAGAACCCATCCACTACCCCTTGTATCCCATTCTCTACATTGTCATTAGCAGCACAGACTTGAGCCACACTCACGGATTGGAATCCTAAGTTCACCATGTACTTTGTGAACTTTAGACAGGTTAACTAATATATTTCTTATCTATAAAATGGAGATGATACTTACCTCATAATTTGCTGACAGTATTAAATAAGTTAATACGTAAAAGCTTTTAGGACCATGATATGTAAATATCTGCCACTATTGTTAATTTTCCTTTCCAATTCATACAGAAAACTTGGGTTCTTAGATGTACTGTGTTGTCAGTCAGGGTCCCAACAGGAAACAGGTGGCTTGCTCAAATGGAACAATTTAAGGAAGGTTTGTTTAGGAAAGCACAAGTAGAGAAGGTCAACAAAAGTCAGTGAAATTGCCTGGATCTGGAGCAGCCAAGCTGGTAACAGCTCCTCACCTGAAGGGACAAGGCCTGGCGTGGTTATCAGAACTGAGCTGGGCAGAGTTGCTGCCAGGAGAGGAGCTGTGACCCTCGGCTGGGCAAATCCCAACCAGACCAGGGGTCATAGGAGCCTTGTTGACTTCGCTCACGTAGACCAGTCTTTGGACAGCGAGCAGAGTGGAAAAGCTGGGGATGCAGATGAAAGGTATCTAAGGGCCAGCCAGTGTCATGGTATTTAAGGCGGCCAGATCCCACATAGCCAACTACATGGTTCAAGTCTCAGGTCCAGCAGCTTGAAAAACATGCTGTGGCTGTGTGTGCATCCCAAAACCTAAGAGGAGAATGGAGGAAAAGGGATTGTAGTGTGGCTATCCTCCCTTGGGGGTCATTTCCCACCCCACACCCCCATCTCTCTCGTGAGTGCACATACCCTATAACAAATTTTTAAAATAATTATTTATTTATTTAATATCATTTGTCATTATTTTTTTCTTTAACTTGACCAGAGAGAGAGAAAGGGAAAGCGAGAAAGCAAGCCACCGGGTCCAGGACTCGAACCACAGTTGGCCGTGTGGGGGTCCAGTGCCTTAACCACCATGTCACTTTCCAGCCTTTCCTATAAAAAAATAAGAAAAATAAAAAGATGTCCAGTACTGTGTTCTATCAGAGATTACAACACGGCTGTGAACCTTGGGGAAATTCTTCCAAACAAGATATATTTCTCTCTGTCACCACAGAAAATAACAGCAACCTTTTGATTTTCCCTGAAAGCTCCTATTATGTACTTGTATTTGAATAATCCTTGGGAGGATATACAAGCTAATGAAAGTAGGCACCTGCCGAGGTCGGTGAGGAACACGTCTCTCCCCTGGCTCTTAGCCAAAAGGCTAAGAAGGGGTGACGACTACGCAGTATATCCTTTCGTATCGTTTGATTCTTGATTCACATCATATATTATCCATTTCAAAGATAAAAATAAATGTAAGGCCAGCAGATGGCATCCGCATGCATGCCCAAAGTACCAGGAGGAGGAGAGACGGAGGATAAGGGATTACGACATGACCATCCCCCATGGGGGTACTTTCTCTCCACTCCCCTTCTCTAGTTTTTCTCTCTGATGAGCACACATGCCCTCTGGGAAATTTTTTAAAAGAATTATTTGCTTAATTTTATTTATTTATTTTAATTTGACGAGAGAGAAAGTGAGAAAGAAGCCACCAGGTCCAGGACTCGAACTGTGGTCAGCCATGTGGGAGTGTCCCGCGCCTTAAGCACCATGCCACCTGCTGGTCCCCTGCTCTGGCAAATTTATAAAAGAAGAAATTAATTTTGTATTGTGCCACTGTGCTCTGGTGAGTGTGGGAGGCAGTTCCTGGGCTCACTGCTGTCTGCTGTGTTTCAGCCCTTCATCCGCTGTAGTTTACAGTGCAGGGATCTGGTTGATGAAGCAAAGAAGTTTCACCTGAGGCCTGAACTGCGGAGCCAGATGCAGGGACCCAGGACGAGGGCTCGTCTCGGTAAGCTGGCATCTCGGCAGAGTGAGGGGATCTTTTCAACTGCTTCTCCCAGGTGGCATAATGTAGTTAAAGGGAACACTCTATGAGGAGTACAGAGACCTCTTTTCAGACCTGTTTTTAATCTTTTCTTGTGTCATCTCAGATAAATCACTTTACCACTCTAAGCTTTCTTTCCTATCAATCAAAGATATCTCCCACTTCACATAATTTTGAGAGTATGAGATAAAGTGTAAAAGCACTTTATGATTTGCCAACTGTTATAGTTATAATTGATTTAGATTCTGTGAATTAGAGATTATTTTGAATGCTGTGTAGTAATAGTACACTCCCACCCACCTCCCCCTTCCCTTTATGTGTTTTTTTCAGTCTGGGATGAGAAGGAGCGAGTGCAGTGGTTTTGACAGTGACGTGCAGTAAAGAGCCTGGATTCTGAAGCCAGACTGTGGCTGCAGATCTGTTTAGCACTCCCTGAGCAGTCACTAGGCAGGAAACTTAACCTCTCCGTGCTTCAGCTGCCTCCTTTGTAAAACGGGATTGTCATAGCACCTGCCCTCTAAGGTCGTTACAAAGAGCAAATGAAGAAATTTCTGTGAAGGCTTATGACATGGTTTTGATAATTGTGTCCCCCATGAGTTCCAATACAATGTCATGGAAGTGGAGGTGGTGAGACTGATAAGAGGTGAGGCCCAGGAGGTGATGTTTGGATCATCATGGAGGCATTGCTCTCATGAATGATTTAATGCCCTCTCACAGGAGAGAATGAATGAGTTCTTGCTCTTGTGAAAAGAGACCATAAAAAAAAAAAAAAAAAAAAAGAAGATAGCTGCCCCAGTTATTTCTTTGCACATGGCTACTGACGTTTCTTCTTGTCTCTGTCACGTGATGTAACAGAGGTGACCAGATGCTGGCTCCATGGCCTTGGACTTTCCAGCCACCAGAATTGTGAGCCAAATAAACCTCTCTTCTTTCTAAGTCACCCAGTCTCAGGTATTTCTGTTTAGCAGCACAGTAGCTGACAGCTTAGAATAGTCCCTGGCACATAACAAGTGCTGTGTATGTTTACCAAAGAGACCTAGTCAAATCTCAGCCTCGTTAGCGACTAGTTGGGCAAGATATTACTTTATTTGAGTCTATACTTAGCTACTCTATGTGCCATTGTAACTGTGCATAGTAATTACTCAGATATGACTTCACTTCCCATTTCCTATTCTCCCTCCTTCACTGTCCCAAGAGCCTAGGTGTGTGTAAAAGCATTTTGTAGTTTATAAATTACTCGTATATGGGCTGGTATTCTGTGTCTGTTGTTTCCATCTCACATCTGAATTTGTACATGGTAAAGGGTTACTTGGTAATTGAGCTGCTCGTTGATAGGTTTAAGTAAAGTGATGATTTATTCCCTATATATATTTTTTTTTTCAAAGAGATTTTTGCTATAGCATACGTGCGCTCACCAGAGAGACAGAAAACAAGAACTCACCCCTCAGGGGGATGATCATGTCGCAGTCCTTTCCATTCCACTCTCTTCTGGGGATCTTGGGCACACGTGCACACAATGCCTGGGTCTGGGACTTTTTATTTAACTTTATTTATTATTTTAATTTTGATCAGAGAGAGACAGTGTGTGTGAGAGAGAGAGAAAGTGAGAAAGCAAGCTGCCAGGTCCAGGACTCAAACCACAGTCGGTCATATGGGAGTCTCGTGCCCTTAACCACCATGCCACCTGCTGGCCCCTACTTTGATTATTTTTAAATTTGCAATAGGGCATGTGTATTCACCAGAGAGAGACAGAGAGGGGGAAAGTGAGAAAACAACCAGCCAGGTCTGTGACTCCAACCATGGTTGGCCATGTCAGAGCACCTTAACCACTACATCACCTATTGGCCCTGTGTTGAATCTTAATAATAGAGATTCTTTCTTGGAGAGGCAGGGGATAGGGCAAAATTTGCCTTGGTTCTGTGAGAAAACCTAACAGAAACTATTTCAAATGAGAAACTTCCTTCAGTACAAAACTGGAAGAAATGACATTTTCTGACTCTTTCAGTCATGGTAAAAAGGTTAGTCTACATGCTGTGTTTGCAAATAAAATGATTTTGTTTCCCAATGTAAAAGAAAAAAGACATGGACTACAGAAAAATGTACTTAGTATGTATGACAAAAGATCTGTATTTCCAAGAAGAACGTGTGTGAGTCAGTAAAAGAGAAAAGTAGCCCGTTGCAAGACTGGCAAAAGCGATGTACAGGTAGCATACAAAAGTGGCCAGTAAGCTTTACTAGTTTTTGCTGTAGGCTACATGCGTTTGCCAAAGAGAGACAGAGAGAGGGAAAGCGAGAAATCACCCCCCAAGGGGGATAACCATTGCCATAATCTCTTCTCATCCAGTCTCCTCTGAGGATTTTGGGCACACATGCACGTATACACACACACACCTAGCTTGGTTTTCATGCTACCAGGTCCAGGACTCAAGCTGTGCAATTGACCATGTGGATCCAGTGCCTGAACCACCATGCCATCTATTGGCCGATGACCAGTAAACATTTTTTGGGGTGCTGGAAGGTAGCATGGTGATTGAGGTGCAGGATTCCCACACAGTTGACCAAGGTTTGAGTCCAGGGCCTGGTGGCTTTCTCTCTCTCTCCCCCACTCCCTACCCCCCACATGGCACTCTCTGATGAGTGCGTGTTCCCTATTGCAAATTTAAAAAGAAATGCAAATCTGTATGAGCATAAACAAAGATATGCAAGTATCCACACAAAATCTTTTTTTTATTTAAAAATTACTTATTTAATTTTATTTATTAATTCATTTACTTTAATTTTAGCAGAGAGAGACACACGCAGAGAGAGAGAGAAAGTGAGAAGGCAAGCCACCAGGTCTAGGACTTGATCTATGGTAGGCCACGTGGGAGTCTCCAGCACCTTAACCACCACGCCATCTGCTGGTCCCCACACAAAATCTTTAACAAGGTTGCCACAGGGTGATTGCAGGGGAAATGCCTTTCATATTTACCTTGATTATTACTATAAGCATATAGTTAACTTCTGTTTTTCAAAGAATAGTAAAAAAAAATTGGCCCGTATGCATGCGAGCCCACAATCCCAAGAGAAAGGAGGAGAAGGGATTGGGATGTGGCCATCCACCCTGGGCCACATGCTCTCACTGACTCTCTCTCTGGTGAGTGCACGTGCCCTGTGGCAGAAACCTAAAGAAATAAAAATTAAATACACCATTTTTTCTTTGAGAGGTTTTTGCTATAGGACACATGCACTCGCCAGAAAGACAAGAGAGAGACAGAGAGACAAAAAGTGAGAAATCACTGCCCAGGGAGGATGGCCATGCCACAATCTCTTCTTCATTCTCCTCTCGGGATCTTAGGCACACATACATGTGCCCAGCGTGAGTTTAAGCCACCAGGTCTGGGACTCAAACTGTGGTCATCTACATGAGAGTCCAGCGACATAGCCATTATGTTAACTGCTGGTCCCAAATACACTGTTTTAAGTACTGTGTGAGCCAGAGATATAGTGGAAAGAAGCTGCAGACATTTTCCTTAACTTTGACTTCTTCTCTCATTTCCGTTACTCACTCTAGTAACTTGCTGTTTGCCTAAGTCCTTTAACTTCTCTGGGAAACCAGTTCATGTGTATATTAAGGGAGTAAAATTCAATCACTTAGATGCTTTCCAATGTAGAAGGTGTTTCTTTTTCTTTTTTTTTTTTTTTTAGGAGAGATTTTACTATAGGATGCATGTGCTCACTAGAAACACAGAGAAAGAAAGAGAGAAATCACCCTCCCTTCCCAGTGAGGATGACCATGCCACAGTCCCTTCTTTAATCTCCTGAGGATTTGGGGCATGCACACACATGCACCCAGTGTGAGTTTGCAAGCCACCATGTCTGGGACTCAAACTGCAGTTGCCCATGTAGGAGTCTAACATCTTCACCACTACTCAACCTGCTGGCCCCTAGGAGGTGTTTCTTTAATGCATGGCAACACTTACTGATTGCTTGTTAAATTGAACTAAAGTCAATGAAAATTTTTGTAAACCAGCAAACCCAGAAGGTTCTTTGGACATACATTTCCTGCCTTGCACTGAACAGACACAAAAAGACCTGCTTAGCCAGACAATTTGCTTATTGCCCTGACCTTGAGGAATTAGAATATGATTCTATATACCTTCATAGTTTTGAGGTGGTTTTTCAGAAGTTCTCAATGGGCAATGTGGAAGCTGTCTCCGACCGTATCGTTAATCATGGAATTGCCAGGCAGTGCCATCAAAGAGATTGTTCCTCTATCACATCGTCCGCACAGCTCTTCCAGTGGGTCCCTGAACTCGGCAGTCTATGTACAGCATAAGAAAGTTAAGTTTATACCCAAGTGGGCCCAGCAGATGGCGTAATGGTTATGTTGCTGGGCTCCCATGTAGTAGACCATGGTTCGAGTCTCAGACCCAGTGGATTGACATTCATGCCAGGCACATGTGCACGCATGCCCCAAATCCCGAGAGAATAGAGGAAAGGGGATTACAGTATGGCCTACCCATTAGGGGGTGATTTCTTGCTCTCTCTCTGTCTGTCTCTCTCCATCTTTTCCAGTGAGTACACATGCCCTATTGCAAAAATCTCTCTATAAAAAAAAAAAAAATTAGACCCAGGAGATGGCGTGGTGGTTAAGGTGCTGGACATTCCCACATGGCTGACCAGGGTTCATGTCCCGGACCTGGTGTCTTGCTCTTTCACTCCCCCTCTCCCCCCTGCTCAAATTAGTTAATAAATAAAATTAAAAATAAATAATTCTTTTTAAAACATGTGTATACCCAAGTAAAAATAACAGGACAGATAAGGGATTTAGTTTTAGTTACTGATCTTACTCATTACTGTCTCTCAGGAAATAGAATTACTATCCTAATTTGTGGCTGTCTCCCTTTCTGAACTAAAGATCAATGCAAATGAAATCTGAATCTCTGATTCCTGTTATTTTAGCAGTGCTGCAGTCTGTCTACTCTGGTAATAGTAATGTTTTTTCACACAACAACTTGTCAGATGCCTACACGTACTTTCCTCATCAAAAGATGAAAATCTAACTTAACAAGTACCTCATTTATTGGCAAAGAATGAACGGGCTTCCTTCTAGTTGACCCTTGACTAGCACACTACTAATATTGTTTGCGTATTGCTCTCTAATTTAGAGTCTATTCTAGTCCATTCTCTTCCTTTTGGAGAGGTTTTTGCTATAGGGCGCATGCGCTCGCCAGAGAGACAGAAAGTGAGAAATCACCCCCCAGGGGGATGGCCATCCCACAGTCCCTTCTCCTCCATTCTCCTCTCGGGATCTTGGGCACACATGCACACACGCCTGGCATGAGTTTAAGCCACTGGATCTGGAACTTGAACTGCAGTCAACTACATGGGAGTCCAGTGACGTAGGATTATGCCATCTGCTGGTCTCCCATTCTCTTCCTAATAACAGACTTACCTGAGCCTGTTAATTCATAAAAACAGAGGTCTATTCAGCTTACAGTTGGAAGATCCAGGGTCCAGGAGCCACACCTGGTGTCGTCTTGCCTGTGGATATCATGGTGGAAGGCTTCCCTTGTGGACAGGAAGTGCTTGAGCAGAGCAGAGCAGCCCTGAGAGACTGTCAGGAATTGCCTCTCCTTATGAACCTACCACTCAATCATGGAGCCGCAGCCTGATGCCTAATCACTTCCAGAAGCATACCTTTCAGTACCATGCTTGGGTTCCCACAGTCCCTTCTCCTCCATTCTCCTCTCGGGATCTTGGGCACACATGCACACACGCCTGGCATGAGTTTAAGCCACTGGATCTGGAACTTGAACTGCAGTCAACTACATGGGAGTCCAGTGACGTAGGATTATGCCATCTGCTGGTCTCCCATTCTCTTCCTAATAACAGACTTACCTGAGCCTGTTAATTCATAAAAACAGAGGTCTATTCAGCTTACAGTTGGAAGATCCAGGGTCCAGGAGCCACACCTGGTGTCGTCTTGCCTGTGGATATCATGGTGGAAGGCTTCCCTTGTGGACAGGAAGTGCTTGAGCAGAGCAGAGCAGACCTGAGAGACTGTCAGGAATTGCCTCTCCTTATGAACCTACCACTCAATCATGGAGCCGCAGCCTGATGCCTAATCACTTCCAGAAGCATACCTTTCAGTACCATGCTTGGGTTAACTCTACCTTCTCAACACTTCCCAATGGCTTACCCTATTTGAACACAAGAACTTTCAGGAACACAGTCAAACCGTAGGGTCCAAAGACATTAAACCCATAGGTGTTCTGGGGAGAAAGACTGTTGAGGCACAAGGCAGTGGGAGAAATCCCAGTTTGAATTTTCCAGGCTGAGAAGAGCAGGGAATGCCTTTAGTCTCCCACCTGCATTTAGGACCTCAGTTATGTCAGCCAGAGTCATCTAGATAGGATGAAGCATGTAATGGTATGTTCAGATTTGCCTTCTGGTGCTTTGATGTCCAGAAATCCAAATATCAGAGGCTTAGGTCCTCAAGAGCTAGAATTCATCTGTTTCAGACTGCTTCTCTTGGCACATAACACACGACATCCTAGCACATCTGCCAGGCGGTAGTTACGCAGCGGGGAATGGTGAAGTAGCCTGTGTTTTTCTCCCTCTGTCCTCAGGAGCCAATGAAGTGCTTCTGGTGGTTGGGGGCTTTGGAAGCCAGCAGTCTCCCATCGATGTGGTCGAGAAATATGATCCCAAGACTCAGGAGTGGAGCCTTTTACCCGTAAGTAACATTTGTGGGGAGGGAGAGTGTCCTGGGTCTGTGGCTGCATCATAACTCATCCTGCTTGAGAATAGAAAAGCCTTGTCACACAGTGGTCTTCATGGCAGTGTTGTGCACACAGGAGGGACCCAGTGACCAGTTTTGACTATTTAGATTAGAAGATTAAACTTTAGAGCCAGGTGGGATGGTATGCATCTGTGATCCCAGCTACTCTAGCGGCTGAGACAGGATGATCGCAAGTTCAAGGCCAGCCTGAGCAACATAGCAAGACCCTTTCTCAAAAAAAAAAAAAAAAAAAACCCCTTTCAAAAAAAAAAAAAAAAAAAAAAAAAAAAGTTGAGACTTCAGAAATGTCCGTGGCTCTGAATCTAATTAAATTCTGCTGGCCACCACTGTTTGGCACCTTTCTAAGTGGTCTGTATAGCTTCCAGCCTACTTCATTGGTCATGTTGTGTTAAACTTAAACTCATTGTTAAATCGAACTAGTATTCAGTTGAACTCATTTGCACTCCTCCTTTAATGTGTGTCTGTTTCAGTTCATTATTAACAAAAATAATTTATGATTAAACATGAAACTCTTTGGATTGTGTGCTCACCAGAGAGAGAGAGGAAATGAGAAATCACCCCCTAGAGGGGATGGCCATGCCATGGTCCCTTCTCTTCCATTCTCCTCATGGGGTTTTGGATGCATACACACACATGCTTGGCATGAGTTTACGCTCCCGGGTCTGGAAATTCAACTGCAGTTGAGTATGTGGGAGGCCAGCGATGTAACGATTATACCATCTGCTGATCCTAATCCTCCTCTTTTTCTTTCTTTCTTTCTTTCTTTTTTTTTTTGGAGAGGTTTTTGCTATAGGGCACATGCGCTCATCAGACAGAGAGAAAGCGAGAAATCACCTCCCGGGGGGATGGCCACACCACAATCCCTTCTCCTTCGTTCTCCTTTTGGGATCTTGGGCACGCACGCACACATGCCTGGCATGAGTTTAAGCCACCAGGTCCGGACTCGAACCCTGGTTGACTACATGGGAGTCTAGCGACATACCATTACACCAACTGCTGGTCCCTAGTCACCCTCTTTTTCTAAAGAGAGAATTTTGCTGTGGGGAGTGTGTGCTCACCGGAGAGACAGAGAGAGACAGAAATCGAGAAATCACCATCTGCCGGTCCCCCTCCTACCGTTTAAAGTCTTCAAATTTGCGGGCTGGCAAGTGACGTGGTAGTTGAGGTGCCGGATGCCGGACTCCCACATGGCCGACCACAACGTGCTTTCTCACTTTCCATTTCTCTCTGTCACTCTCTCTGTGTCTCCAACTGGTCAAATTAAGAAAATAATAATAGTAAATACAGTTAAATAAACCATTCTTTTAAAATAACTAAATAAATAAAATGTTCACAGGGCCAGCAGGTGGTATGGTGCTTTGGGTGCTGGACTCCCCCATCGCTGAGTATGGTTTGAATCCTGGACCTGGTGGCTTGTTTTTTCACCTTCCCTCTCTCTTTCTTTCTCTGTGGTGAGCTCACATGCCCTGTAGCAAATGTTTTAAAAATACTAAAAATGATAAAAAAAAAAAATTAAGTAAATAATTCTTTAAATAAATTAATAATTCAGATCTTGGCCCTTGGATTGGCAACATGGGAATACTCTTCCACTTTATGGAGTGTCTTGGTCTCAAAACCTAGTGATTTGTGGAAAGGAAAGGGATTAGTTGCTGGAACATAGAAAATCATTACGGGTGCCAGCAAGTGGTGTGGTGGTTACGGGCACTGGACTCCCACATGGCTGACCGAGAGTTGAGTCCTGGGCCTGGCTGCTTGCCTTCTCACTTTCTCTTTCTCACTCTCGCGCTCTATTCCTCTGGTCAAATTAAAAAAATAAGTAAATAAACAAAGTTAAATAAAGTAGTTCTTTAAAAAAAAAAAAAAGAAAGAAAAGAAAGAAAGAAAATCATTGCATCTTTTGGAAGCCTTGTCAGAAAATATCAGAAAAGAAACTTAGATTCTCCTGTACCCTCAAAGCACAAAATACTTCTGTGCCCTCAGAAGTGTGGGCGTTCCCCCAGACACCATGTCCTACAGCAGCAGACGTCAACTGAGTGTCCTCTAAGTCATTTCTGACAGTGGCCCCTCTGGAGGTGGCGTCCATCCCACAGTGTGAGGGCTCAGTCCCACAAGGCTGCCCCGGTTCCCTCCAGATCTCCAGATGCCATTTGCAAGCCCTGGGTTTTAACTATGCTTCTGACCATCTGGCTGTAGATCGTGGTGCCCTTGACACCCTCCTTGCATTCTGTTAATTTGCTAGAGCAGCTCACAGGGCACAGGGAAACACTTAACCAACGAATTTATCATAAATGGTGTTATAGAGATGAAGAGCCACTTATAGCACGGCCTGTGGAAAGGGGCACAGAGCTCCCGTCCCCTCTCGGGGCACACCACCCTCCAGCAACCTGCATTTGTTCAGCAAGACCTTTCGAGTGTTTGGAGACTTTATTACTCAACGATTAATTATATCATTGGCCACTTGGGCTAGGTCTAACCTTCAGCCCCTCCTCCTCCCCAGGGGTTGGAGACGTGGAGCTGAGAGTCCCAACCCTCTTATCCTACCTCGGTCTTTCTGGGGACCAACCTCTATCCTGAAGCTAGCTAGGCTGTCAGCCTCTGCCTTCTTACTAGCACCCATGAAGACACTTAGCACTTTGAGGATTCCAAGGACATTCGGAGTTGTATGCCAGGAAATGGGAAGCAGTACATTTTCAAGTAACACCTTGAAAAGAGGTGGTGTGCAGAAAGCTTGTGTCCGCATGCATTCAGTAGAGAGCTGGAGGCCACTCGAGAATAAACCATCCAGGGAGGTTCATGGTGGCACTGAAACAGCAAAGGGTGTGTAGCTGAAAAGAAGAGTAGTAAAAGGTGTGCCCTAAAACTTGCCTGACTGGGACCAGCAGATAGTGTAATGGTTACATTGCTGGACTCCCACATAGTCAACCATGGTTCGAGTACCAGACCCAGCGGCTTAAAACTCATACTAGGTGTGTGTGCGTGCGTGCCTAAGATCTGAAGAGAAGAATGGAAGTGAAGGATTACAGCGTGGTTATCTTCCATGGTGGTGATTTCTTGCTTTCTGTCCCTCTTTGTCTCTCTGGCAAGTGCACACGCTCTGTAGCAAAAATCTCTCTTTAAAAAAAAATTAAAAAACAACTTGCCTAACTGAAATGTCCACTGCTTCTCTCCCACATGCATAGAGCATCACTCGTAAGAGACGCTATGTGGCCTCCGTGTCCCTGCATGACCGGATCTACGTGATTGGTGGTTATGATGGCCGTTCTCGCCTCAGTTCCGTGGAGTGTCTAGACTACACAGCGGATGAGGACGGGGTCTGGTATTCTGTGGCTCCTATGAATGTCCGGCGAGGCCTTGCTGGAGCCACCACCCTAGGAGGTAGGCTTGGTGCAGGAGCCATGTTTCCATCTCGGGGCTGGATTGGGACTCTTATCCTATTTGGCAGAGCATGAAGTGTGCAGGGCAAATTGGTAAGGTCAAGTACTCTTTGTTTTTTGGACATACCAGTGTTACAGAAACTCTTCAAGATTCATAGATGTTTCCACACTGACTTCACACTTGCAAATCAAGTTCCAGTGTGCAGGGTGGGTATATCAGTTAAAAAAACTCATTATTCTCTCTCATGACACAGATTACTCCTGTTACCCCAGAATGTTTGGGGACCTCCCCCTACCAGCAAGGGAGCAAGGAATTCTGCAGTGGACACTAGGCCTCTTCTTTTTTTTAAGACAGAATTTTCTTTTTTAAATAATTATTTAATTTTATTTATTCATTCATTTATTTTTAAATTTGATCAGACACACACACACACACAGAGAAAGTGAGAAAGCAAGCCACCAGGTCTAGGACTTGAACTGTGGTCAGCTACATGGGAGTGTCCAGCGCCTCAATCATGCCACCTGCTGGTCCCCCAAGACCGAAATTTTTGCTATAGGGCACATGCATTCCCTTGAGAGACAGAAAGCAAGAAATTACCCCCCCTCCCCCCAGGGAAATGGCCAAGCTGTAATTCCTTTGCCTCCGTCCTCTTAGGATTTTGGGTATGCGCACACATGCCTAGCATGAGTTTATTAAACCATCGGGCCCAGGACTCAAACTGTGGAAGACTATGTGGGAGTCCAATGACGTAGCCATTATACCATCTGCTGTTCCTATCACTAGGCATCTTTTAATCCACTTCAGTTCTGACACTGTCTACCTAGAAATAGAGTCAGATCCCACAGGTTGAAGGCTCAGTCATATGGGGCTGCCTTCTACTTCAGACATCAGCTGCACCTCCAGGCCTCCAGAACTTCTATTTTTTTTATAAAGTAATTTTTAAAATTTTATTTAATTCCATTTGTTATTATTACTTTTCAACTTAATCAGAGAGAGACAGAGAGAAGGGGAAAGCGAGAAAGCAAGCCACCAGATCAGGGACTCAAACCGTGGTCTACCGTGTGGGAATCCAGTACCCTTAACCATCACGCCACCTGCCAGCCCCAACCTCCAGAACTTCTGATCATCTGGTTTCAAGTTGGGGTAAGTTGGGGTTCCTGCAGCCCTTTTTCCTCCTCAGATTCATTTAATTTATCAGAGTAGCTCATAGAACTCAGAAAACACTCACTTACGTATACTAATCCATGATAAAGTGTACTTTAAAGGAGACAGTAGCCAGATGAAGAGATGCATAGGGTGCAGGAACTTCAGTCCCTGTGGAGTTGGGGTGTGCCACCCTCCTAGCATGCGGAAGAAGTTCTTGTTCACCTTGCCGTAAGCCTCCACGTGCTCAGCTATCTGGACGCTCCCTTTACCTGTCCTTTTGGGCCTTTACGGGAAGTTCATTGCATAGGTGTGGAATTCTCATTGACTAGGTAGGAACACCCAGCAAGGCCTGGCTGTTCATTCTTGGCCTCTCAGTGCAGTATTCCTTCTGGGTACAGGAAAGGGCCTTTCTAGAATGAGGGTCTTAACAGTGGGGTAAGATGGGAGTTCCGTGACTCACCTTGTGTAGCTAAAGAAGTAGGAGTCCTTCAGACTGCCCTTCACTTCATCTCGGAAGCTGTTTCTAAGCTGCCTCAGGGACCAAGAACAGGACCAAAGCCTAACAGCCAGGAACCATGGACAAAAACGGAAAGAATATATGTATACACACACACACACACACACACACACACACACATACACACAGGAATGTCACAGTGGAGACTGGCTAAGAGTTGTATATTTACAAAATTTCATGTAGTGTTCAAACACTTTAAGGATTTTATCTTGCCCCATTTTTTTGTTTGTATGTTTTTGTTTTTTCCATAGGGTACGCGTGCTTACCAGAGAGAGAGAGAGAGGGAATGTGAAAGATCATCCCAGGGACCAGCAGTTAGTGTAATGGCTATGTTGCTGGACTCCCACATAGTCGACCGTGGTTCGAGTCCCAGACCGGGTGGCTTAAACTCACACTGGGCGCGTGTGCGTGCGTGCCCAAGATCCCGAGAGGAGAATGGAGGAGAAGGGATTGCGGCGCGGTCATCCCCCCTGGGGGGTGATTTCTCGCTTTCTATCTCTCTGTCTCTGTCTGTCTGTCTGGCGAGCGCACGCGCCCTATAGCAAAAACCTCTCCCCAAAAAAAAGAAAAGAAAAAAAAAAGATCATCCCACTTGGAGGGAGTGCAGGGGGGGTGCCCACTGCACTCCGATCTCCATTCTCCTTTCAGGATTTTGGGCACATGTGCACGCATGCATACACATGTCCTGGCATGATGATTCCAAGCTGGGTCCAGGGCTTGAATCGTCTGCCAAGTGGGAGTCCAGCTCCTTAACCATCATGCCACCTGCTGACCTCCTTGCCCCCTATTTGTAAATATCTTGACTGCGCTGTTTTCCTTTTAAGACTTTTTTTTAAAGAATTATTTTATTGGGGCTGGCAGGTGGAGTGGTGGTTGGGAGTGCTAGACTCCCACATGGGCAACCACGGTTCAAATCCCGAACCTGGTGGCTTGCTTTCTCACATTCCCTCTCTCTCACTCTCACTCTGTCCCTCTCTAGTCAAATTAAAATAAATAAATATAAAGTTAAAATAAAAAATAATGCTCATTAAAAAAATATTATTTTATTGAACTTTATTTTATTTATGTATTTATTTATTTTAATTTTACCAGAGAGGAACAGAGAGAGAAAGTGAGAAAGCAAGCCACCAGGTCAGGCACTCAAACTGTGGTTGGCCATATGGGAGTCCAGCGCCCTTTACCACCATGCCACCTGCCAGCCCCAGCATTTTTTTTAAGAGTTATTTTTTATTTAACTTAATTTATTTATTTTAATTTTACCAGAGAGGAACAGAGAGAGAAAGTGAGAAAGCAAGCCACCAGGTCAGGCACTCAAACTGTGGTTGGCCATATGGGAGTCCAGCGCCCTTTACCACCATGCCACCTGCCGGCCCCCCTTGTTGATAAGGCCCAACCTGGTAATATAGTTGGTAGCAGACTGAACTTAAGTGCTGGAAGCCATATTACCATCTACAGGTTGGGATCCCTAGGTGGGTTTGAAAATACATCACATAGGGACTAGCAGATGACTTAATGGTTATGTTGCTGTACTCCTATGTAGTCAACTGTGATTCAAGAACCAGACTCAGAAGTTTAACCATGCCCAGTGTGTGTGTGTGCATGCCTGAGATATCCCTAGAGGAGAAGGGATTGGCCAGCCCCCTGGGGGTGATTTCTCACTTTGTCTCTCTGTCATTCTGTCTCGGTGAGTACATGCACCCTACTACAAAAATCTCTCTCTCTTTTTTTTAAATCATTTTATTTAACTTTATTTTATTTATTTATTTTAATTTGACTAGAGAGGGACAAGAATGAGAAAGAGAGAGAGAAAGAGAGAGAGAGAGAGAGAAGGAAAGTGAGAAAGCAAGCCAGCCACCAGGTCCGGGACTTGAACCATGGTTGACTATGTGGGAGTCTAGTGCCCCTAACCACCAAACCACTTGCCGGCCCCCAAAAATGTCTCTTAAACAAAAAGAAAATATGGGGCTGGCAGGTGATGTCGTATGTCCCACCAGGGTTCCAGTTCCGGACCTGGCAGTTCTTGCTCTCACTCTCAATCTCACTCTGTCCCTCTCTGGTCAAATTAAAATAAATACATACATACATAAAAAATAAATAAAGTTCAATAAAATAATTCTAAAAATAAAAAAGAAAATATACCTCACATGCCTAAGACTCTCATGAGCTAAAGACTGAGAAAGGAGATTGTGTCATAATGGGAGCCCATGGAGGGTTCTTTCTTTTTTTTATAGACCACAGATTAGTTTATTTTTAACACCCATCATGCCATGAATTCATAGGGAATAGGTTCCAGTAGCTCAGGCTCCTTTCCATTGGTTCTCACAAAGTGTGCTTCTCTGGGGGGAGCAGGCTGGTGCTTTAGTTGAACCCAGGTACCTTTCTCTTTGGCTTCTTTCTTTTTCTGGTCATTTTCCTTCACACGTTTTAGGAAGCTATCTCTGCTCTTAGAATGTTTAATATGCTCAATACGCACATTGATTCTCTTGGCAAGAATCTTGCCCTTAACTTGTTTGTTCACAACAATGCCAACAGCATGCTGGGTAACATTGTAGACTCTTCCAGTTTTGCCACAGTAACATTTGTGGGGCATTCCTTTTTGAACAGTACCCATTCCCTTAATGTCTACAATATCACCTTTCTTGTAGATTC